CTCAATTCGGCTCCTATTCCCAACTCGTCACAAGAAATGACTCGGAGAGCCTGCACATATGAAATGCCCGCATCAAGAGGCCAAGGAAGCTGCATCCTTGCTGTGTCTGTTCTGCATGCATAGAATGCAAAATCCAGGATGAACCCCAGGAGTATGGCCCAAAGGAACCACAAGGGTGGGGCTGGATGCTCAGAGAGGAACGCCCAGCTGTGCTGCACGAGACCTGATAAGGGTTTCCACACTCAGGCCTTGATTTCCAGCTCCGTTTGCAGATGTGCAAGCAGAGCGCTCTGACGCTCTTTGCATGCACGTGGGGTGGCAAGACCCTCGCTTCTAGTCACCTCCAGAAGGTGGCGGCCTTCCATGGATTCCACTGCAGTAACAATGTCTGCCCAAACTTGCACTGACGACTGGTCTGAGATGGCTCCTGCCAGCATTTTCGCAGCGAGGCATCTTTGAGGCCCGGACAAAACAATCTGTTCTGCATCGGCGCTAGACGGCGGAGCAAGCTTCGCATGTGCGGTCGTGGACTGCAACCTTTCCCAGAAACGATGTTCTAGTTCTTTCAACTCTCTGTGTTTTTGCTCTTCAACAGCAGCCTGTTCGGTCTTCTCCTTAGAGGCACGGAGCTCGGCCAACCCCCGCTTGATTTTTGACGACTGCTTGGATCGCTTACGATTGTCTGCAGAAGACGACCGAGAGGAATCTGACAAGGCATCGTCGCGATGTGAGCGCTTCTTGCGGGATTGACGCCTTGTAGATTTCTCCCGATCTCCCAACAGCATGGCGTAAGCCATCCCGGCATCAAAACTCGAGGAGCCGCCGTTTCCACCCCATGACTGCTGATTGCCACCAGACCAATTGCTCTGGTTCCAGTTCTTAGACGACCACTGCTTGTAGTAGCCTCTGTTGCCTCCCTTGCCCCATGTCGCCTCTAGGTGGCGAGGGAACAGTAGGAACCATAGCAGGAGGCTAAGCGGGACCATCATACTGCTCACTGTCTCTGGCAACAGGCTGCAATTTGTTTGAACATAGGATCGCGGATAGCAGCGCGAAGTAAACAGATTGTCTTATGCAACCTTGCAATGTGCACAGTGGAAACCACCTTCGACAATGCTCTGCTGTTCCACCCACATGACATACAATCCGAAAGGAAATGAAGCACATACAGATGCAGGTCACTAGGTGAATCACAAATTTGTGAAGCACGATGTATTGCACCAAGCAGCAGAGGCCTGATGTAACTTTCTCCAGCCGCCCATGTGGGAGGAATCTGTAGCACTTTTCTTTTGGGTGTCAAGCATTTGTCAGAGCCCACCATGTCTAGAAAATGAAGGGGGGACTCATTATCGGCAACATCGAAACGCTCCTCATAGACATGGAGAAGGAGATCAACGAGGCAGTCTTTGCAAAAACTGTGGGCGCCCAAGAACACATCATCAACATACCTGACATGGCAAACAGTGCGCCTCCAGGATTGTCGCAGGGAGTAAAAACCTGCACACAGTCTTCGCATATGACTAGTTACTAGTTTTCCAGTTTTCTTCCTCCTGGCAAAGGACCATGCTCGAAACCAGTTTGCTCGTGAGGCCACCTATCGGCAACCCGGCTCAACATAGCAACTGCATGGCCCACAGACACTAAGGAGACGCTGATGGCCGTCGAAAAAGCAGCAAAGATGTCAGACAAGCCCAAACGGACGAACTTGCCACGGCCACCTTGCAAATCAAGTACCAAGAAACTTGCGGGTGCGAGCAACAGCAACGCCCTTCCAACCAGCAGAGGCAGCCCGCAGAGAAGACAGCGAACCCGGCTTCAAGGGCACGTTGAGGAGCGACCTCGTCATAGAACTGACCAGCATCTGCCACAATTGCAACAAAGCGTTGTTATGCAGCCTGGCACCTTAAGCAGGTGTGAAGATCTGCAGGAACATCCAGATCCTTGAGCCTCAAACCCTGGGCACATATGACGTAAAATAACATCTGCACCTCGATTGAAACACTGCCAGACTCGTCGCTTTGGCTATTTGGCATAGCTACAAATTGTCCGAGCACATGAGTGCGCAAGCCTTTGGCAGCACCGCCCCACTTTGCAGCCATCATAGAAACATTTGCTCTTCAACGTTGTGTAGACGTACGGCAAGACCCAGACCCCATCACGCAGTCCAAGCCGTGCGCTCAGGGGCGCACCCAATGTGTCCTTCATGCGCTGCAGTAACAAGCTGTTGGCATAGGCCCGAGAGTACTTGACAAACGTCGAGGTATTGGACAAGCACACGAAAGCAAGGCAAAGGACTTGGTACGCAAGCTTTGGGAGGATCCATGCGCTTTTCTTGTTTTTGTCATCAGGAACAACAGCACGACGCAACCTATAGAACTGCATGCCTTTGGTTTCATGAGAGTAAGCATCTGCAGAACGCCGTTGCCGAGCCAACAACCTGTCAACTTCCACAGAAGAATGCAAGGAAGTTGACACCGTCGAGTGCAGACCGGTAAGCTCACGCCGTGACAAGCCGAGCGATCTGAGTTCCTTCAATGTTTCATCACGAACGCACTGTGCACGTTCAGCGAACGTCAACCTGTATCGATAGTCCCAGTTCTTTTCCGACCGAAGGAACTGTTGTCCTGACATGATAGAGGTCATGTCATCCATGCCCAACGTTTCAAGTGATGTCAAGCACACTCTCCCAGACCCGCGCAGACTCCTTATCGGGAGAGGTAACACGCAAAAGGCCAAACGGCAAGCGTTTGTAATCACAGTACTCACGCAATCTCCGGCTCAGCATGGCACGTTGACCGGAACCAGGCAGGAACCGTTTCAAGCCACAGAGGGCAGGAAACAAGAATGATCTGCCCCACTTTCGCTCACAGAGTTGTCAATCAACACGTACATGCTAATCTTGTAACCAACCACCGTGCAAGCAAATGGGCGTTGGCGGGATTGTAGATGTCGTAAGGACCAAACAATCCAGTGTCAGCAAGAGCTGCTCGTGAATGGGTCAAATGCAGTGGCATACGGTATCCACTGAGCAACGACACGCTGCAACCGAACTGCTTTATCCATCTTCGTGAGACGGGCCTCGCGTGCTCGTAATCTAGCATCAACTTCTGAATGATTTTGTGGTTGGGGGACCTGACACTGTTTGGGAGGTCGCTTTCTCTGCTTCTCGCGGACACCCGTGGCAACGTAGCCATTGGATGTCTTGCCACTCCACAGCGCGCATGCGCAAAGCAGTGCCTTGACCAACGACTACGAAAAAACTCATCCAAGGGGGATGTCTGAGCGCCATACGATAGCGAAGCCTTTTTGCTTCCGGCAAGTGAGGCCGCATGGTCGCGATCAAAAGCGCAGAGAAACGTTTCACAGGCCCCGCAATGTTGGGTGCACTATCCCTTGTAGCATGTGCGAAACCTGTGTATCGGAAATGAGAAGAGAACCACTGATACACAACCGCCTCGCATTCAGCAGTATCCAAGATCAGGGCTCCATGCCAACACACTAAATCTCTGACCGCCAGCAGGGAGCCGCGACCCTGAAAAGCAGCTTGAACATGGTCAGGCAACAACCGCAACACGCACACAGCGTGCTTGTTGTAGCCAGAGCAAGCCCCTTGCCTTTGCGCATAGACACATCAATCTCTCATCTCAATGTCCGGCGAAACATGGCGTTCTTGCGGTCAGACGGGAACATGTACTCAAGCACAAGTTTCTGGATCTTTGTCAACGCAGTCCAAAGTCGACGAGGACAGTCTGGCCGTTGCCAATGGCATACTACCCTGGCAAAGACAGACCGACATAACAGTGCCGTGCACTTGCGCTGGACATGCTCGGTGAGGCATACATCAACAAAGAAACCAACAGCTTCATCTGAAACAAGTTGCGTCCAGATGCTGCACGCTGTCAAGATGCACATGCTCGCGTTCGCCATTATCTAAAATAAGAAACTGAATGCTGCACCAGATATGGAAAAATGCGGTATCCAGATGCGCTGCAGAATATACAGCTTGATGGATGGAGTAGTCGGGGAAGAAGAAACACAAGGCACCGTAGCAAAACGCAGCCACTGGTAGCCGGTGAAGCCTTGTGGGAACGCCAAGAAAGCAGAAGCGGAAGCCAGGCCTTTTGGTACTCGCCGTACAGCTCCCAATTAACTGGTAAATTAGGTCAGGGGCAGCCTGGAGACGATTTGTTAGCACTGCCTGCTGCATGCCCTCCAGCCCTGCTATGCAGAGCCCTGACATATGGAAATTTGAGCAACATCAGAAACATCAGGATGTATATGCCAAGTTGGATGGTGCATGACCCTTCACACATCTGTATGCTTTGACGTCAGGACTCAAGACAAGTCATGACACATCTTCAAACTGCAAAACGAGTGTTGAGAAAGCACTTCGTGGAACATCTCACTGCAACTAAGCAGGGAGCACTGCCGTATTGAGCACTAAGGGATGGTCCGTATGGCCTTTATGCTTGCATCACAACAGCACATGCCAAGGCTGACATTCCTCGGACAGTGTATGCAGCCGCTGGTTGTAACGGGATCCCGGATTGACTCAAAGCAGCTCCTATTCCCAACTCGTCACAAGAAATGACTCGGAGAGCCTGCACATATGTAATGCCCGCATCAAGAGGCTAAGGAAGCTGCATCCGTGCAGTGTCTGTTCTGCATGCATAGAATGCAAAACCCAAGATGAACCCCAAACCCTAAATCCTAAACCCTAAACCCGATTATAAACCCGAAGTGCTCCAGTTTGAGGCTTGGGGATCGCGGAGCTCACTCCCTCAGACTTTCCGGACTCCTGTGAAGGCCTTAAGGGCTGAAGGGAAGACACTGGAGAGCAGCTGATTTGGATGCGATTGGATTCAGGGTTTAGGGGTTAGGGTTTGGGGTTTAGGGTGGTGTTCCTTGGTGTATTAGTAGCCCTTTAATGTGGAAGCTCCGCATTATACGTTTGGGAGATGTGGTTGATGGTCAACTGCGTTGTGTGCTTTCCAGGAGCCATGCTCCACCTCGACTCGTTTACCTGGCATGCCCAATTGTTAGTTCCCCACTGGCACCTACGTTTTTGTGCAGGTGGTGTCACTCTCAGAGGCCAATACCAAGTTTCCACGAAGCACATCGTGAACGCAAGTCGCAGCTGCGTTATCCACGCGGAGCATGGCACGATGCTGATGCTGAGCGGCCCGCTGCACTTTCTGGGAGATGTTCGCCTTACAGGGAGCCTGCAGGTGCTCGGCATCAGGGTTAAGACATGTCCGGTCACCCAGTCGTAGAGCCGCAACATCCCTGAGATAACCTAAGACCTCAAGCCGGACTGACTTCAGGTGGTAGCCCAGGAGGACATGGCCTCCGACAGCTGTTTCGTCGTGAAGGGCAGCCTGATGCTTGAGATGGATCTCCTCCGGATGAGTGGTTGCCGCTCCTCCGGCGATGGTGGCGCTTTACGAACTCTGGGAGATCTGACCGTGATAGGAGGAAAGCTGGAGTTCCATGACTGCCATGCTTTCCAAGGTGGAGCCATCTTTGTCGAAGGAAAGACACAAATCAGGGGAGGAGAAGCGGCGTTTACAAAATGCACAGCATCCAAGAGTGTCCGAGGCTCCGCCACCAAAAAGGCCACACATAAGTTCGTGTGCGCGCCCGGGGGCTCTCACCAGAAGCAGTCTTGTGGGGGAGGGCTTACCGTCGACGGATCTTTGCTATTGCAAAAAGCTCGGATGACGTTTGAGCACTGCAGCGCGGAAGAATTCGGGGGAGCTCTCTGCGCAGCCTGGTGTATTATCCAAAGCCCCAGGGCCTTTTCAATTTGTTTGTCGAGGAATGTGTTACTTTCAGGCTTCCAGTGACGGAGCTTTGTTTGCGTTTGTTCCGGTTTCAGCAGTTTCAGCCCAGGTAATCGGAGGATTCGACCAACAGGGCGGGTCCATGAACCTGAACACCTGCACGAGTGGACGTGATGCAGGGGGGGTGTACGCTGCTGTGACAGACAAGCAATCGCGCGGTTGCCGTGTTTTGCAGAGTGCCGGTTCATCCGGCATTTGTTTTTTTTGAACTTGAAAGCATGGACTGTAGACTATGTAGACTTAAATAAGTTCCTGTCAGGTTAATGGGAGATTCTACGAGGAACGTGGTGCCATGTACTTCAAGAATTGCACGAGCAGTGGGCAAGGAGGCGGAATGTTACTGCGCTGCACTCTTGCTGGCTCCAACTCATGCAGAATCAACCAATCACGGTTGGCTTTCCATTCCTGCTCCTCTGCCTTCGGGGGTGGCCTGTCGTTGTCCGGTGCTCTCGACCTGATGCATTCCAACGCCAGCTTTGAGAACTGCCGTGCGGAAAGTGAAGGTGGAGGACTTAGGGTCAAGAGTGGGTCTGCATTGGCAGCTCAAGTTGCGAGTCTCGAATTCAAGCAGTGTTCTGCCGGCAGATTTGGCGGTGGAATTCGCGTTGAGGGAAAGATGAGCCTTGACAAGTCTAACGTGACTTTTGTCGAGTGCACCGCTGGTCGAGTAGGAGGTGGCTTCGCGGCCCGTGACGGACGGCTCACCCACAGCCGTGGCACGATGTCGTTTGACTTCTGTAAGGCTTCTGCAGGCTCGGCCTTCAGCTCTACTTGGGGTGCTGAACTGGCTGAAGTCAATATACACATGTGCACCGGCTTGGGTGCAGAAGTCACAAGTTCCAATGGCAATGTCTCCATTCAACGTTTGACCTTCGTCTATACTGGTCCTTCTGCTGGATATGAGCCGGCTCTCCTGGCACCGAACGTTTCCATATCAGAAGTGAACTGCACAGCAACCCACGAATGCACTGTGTACGCTACTACCCTGCACATCCCTTCCCTGCTTTGCCCACCTGGGCGCGAAATCGAAGACCATAATGTCGGTCCTGATGAGCGACGATATGGCTGCAGACTGTGTGAGCCCGGGCATCTTGGCCGCATTAGCCCGTCTGGCATAACGTTCCTTCAGTTCACTGCTTTTGATTGCGTGTCTCCGCGGTACTGAGGTATTTTCAGCCGCTTCCATGGCGCAATCCGCACTGCCTCCCATGCCCCAGCGAAGCGCAGGCCTGTGACGCCGTGTCTGTGACAATGCAGGCCAGACCGACCGAGCAGCTGGAAAAACCTCAAAGCCGACTCTCGGCATTTCGTGTTTAATGTATTGTAGAGCTTTTAGCTCCATGTTGATTCTGTCCGGATCTAAAGCTTTAAATGAACCCCCGGACTGCGGAACGCTCAGAACTGGGACAGCCCAGCCAGTATGCTCGGCTGATCCAAAGATCGCCGTTGAATGCCGGACACACGTGAAACGTGAATTTCCTTCCATAAAAGCTCGACAAAAAAACAAAATTGCGTTGCTTCGGCTCATGTGTTTTTTTTCAAAGCCCAACAGCCAGCAACATGTGAACAATCTCTCGGAGTCACCCTCCCACAGACAAATGAATGAGACAACTGCATAGTCCCCGCATCGCGGAGAAGAGAGACGCCAAATTGAACTGTTCGAGTGCACGCAGCTTGCCGCAAATCTTGTGTTGTGGTGATCGTTGCTTTCATCTTTCAGGGTTACTGCAAGCCCAGCACTTCGTCCCGGCAGGCTGGCTACATGCTCGATGTCCCGAACCTCTCGTCGATCATTGACCTCAGCGAACTGGAGTCGGTTAAGCGGACCTATTTCTGTCCGAATGCTGCTTCCTGCCCAGGACAGGAAGTTTGGATCTGAAGAAAGTTTGTGAGCGCATTTCATTTGGCCCAGCCTTAGTGGACTTGTGAACTTGAGACAGGTAGGGCAGGCAGGGGTATGAGCATATAAGGGACCTACCAGGAGCTGTCCACGGTTCTTCCTTCAAAGTTGCGAAGCGTAGCCCCTGCACATCTTGGCCTCCAGCGTGAATAGTCAAAGCAGCAAGCGGCACAGACCATTTCTACAGAGCAAACTGACGTAGGTTTCATCCATTCCACACAGCTCGCAATCGTCTTAGCCAGGCGTATTCTATAATTATAAGGTGACTAAATCAGGGCACATCAATGCAGCATTTATGTGCACTCTGCCAGCCGACTTCGGGCGTGCAAGCAAGCATGTCCTGAGCGGAGTTATGCTGCTTGCACGGGCGGTTGTTTCTCTTTGCCGCTTATACTGTTCTTCAAGCGTGAATATTTCATTGCCGTCATTGTATCGACAGTGTCCCTGAGCTGCAGGAGGACGGCTGGCATACCAGAATCAGACAGCTATGTGTTCGCCAGGGGCGACCGGGCAAGGATGTGAGTTCTCCACGCCCGGCTATGCACCCGGGGATTATGACAACCCTTGTAGTAAGTTCAAATGTCCCACTGCGCCGTCGGTTTGGGTTATGGCTGCCAGCTACCTATTCGGCAAGGATCTGTTTGTGTTCATGCTCGCGTCCTCTTCAGTGCTTGGTGCAAAAGCTGGGAGGAAGGAGAGTGCCGTCCTCGTGAACCAGTTGATGGCCTTTGGCATCATTGCTTCCCGCTGCCTGGCGGCCCTCATGCAGGCCGAAGTGTTTGCAGGGCAGGCTGTGTTTTTCCGAGACGTATTGCATGCTTGGGGCATGGTGGTTGATGCAGGAACAGGACAAGCCGATTCAGCTACAACTGTATGGTGCTTCGTTAAGGCCATGTACGACGATTCCGGTCTCACGGGTTTCTTTGTGTTTTTCGCTTTAGCCAACGTTCCAGCCCTTCTGCTGGTGTGCGTCTTTGGTTGTGCGAAAGGATTTTGGCTCAGCATCATTGTGGGGAGTAACTGCTTCCTGCCAGCATTCTGCGGACGCCTGAGTGCTCTCCTCATATCGTTTAGGCCAACCCAGGCCGCTGATGTCCCGCGTTTTTATTATAATGCCATTGACAACAGTCGGCAATGTGTGATGGTGCTTGCAACTGTCATGGTGCTGACCATCTGCTTCAGTGCTACAATCTGGTTGTTTTTACGGGCGACGCATTCCGACCAGGACCCCCGCTCGCTGCAAGTGTTATACTTGGCGGCTCCTTACAAGCCAACGTATGCCTCCTGGGAGGTGGAACGGCTACTGCGAAAGATGACATTCAGTGTGATCTGCACGGCATTTCCGGTGACAATGCACCCCATGATCCAAATAGCTTTACTGGCCTGCATTTCGATTGTGTCAGCTGCGCTGTACTTGAAGCTGCAACCCTATAGCCTGGCAAAATTCAACGAAATGGAGACTGGCTTGCTGTTGGCAGCCAACGTGATGGCTGTTCTGACTCTGCTCAGTTGCCATCGATCACCGGGTTGGGGTACAGACTTACCTGACGTCAAGTTCGCGGCAGGTGTGGCCGCCGTTTCAATCGGCACAGGCTGCACGGTTTGGATGGCGATCCTGATAGGCACTGCATTCATATCGGAGCGTGAGAAAGACTAAGCTGCACAGGAGTGCACAAAAAGAGTGCCTGCCTTGAGTTTGCTTGCCTAAACCCCTGAACCCTAAAACTGTCGGGGTCAGCTAGCCTCTGCCCAGATACGGGTACGCATCGAGATCGGAAGTTTTCCAGACCCCACGGATGTTCGGATCAGCATTAAACGGGCGACGCGCAGGGACCTATGAGTTGAGAAGCCTTCCTCTGAGCCCCCTACAAAGCTTCCGAACGTCAGGTGCGCGTCCTACCCTGGCTCCGCGGCTGCCTCCTTTGAAGACGGCCCTGAAACTCTGAGCCTTTAGGCTTTTTCCGCAGACTTCAAAGCCTAAAAAGCCCAAGACTCTCGACAAGCGATGGTATTTTTGTTTGAATCTACTTGGGCTTGTGGTTAAGGTCCTAGATAGCCATGCAACAAAGTAAGGTGACCCGACGGGAACGGAACTGTTGGTGACGGTCTACCCATAGGCCCCTAAGTAGTTCCTTTTTTATGGCTTATATTTAGAATCCTATAAGGTATTCCCAAAAAGGAACTACTTAGGCGCCTATAATAAACCCTAAACCCTAAACCCGAAACCTATAAGGTAATCCCAAAAAGGAACTACTTAGGGGCCTATGGGTAGGTACATCACAAGTCGTCCTGGGTCCTCTTCGAGCTTGGATCTCAGGTTTAGGGTTTATAGGGGTTTAGGGGTTGAGGGGTTTTGGGGGTTTGGGGCTTTAGGGGTTTAGGGGTTTAGGGGTTTAGGATTTTGGGGTTTGGGGGGTTTAGGGTTTCGGGGTTTAGGGTTTAGGGGAATCTGGGGTTTGGGGAACACGGTCCTGAGAAAGGCTTGTCGTTAACGGGGGCCATGGACCGATGGATAACGGAAAAGCTGTGTGCTCGGCAGAAGAAGGATGGAGAAAAGGACGATCTGCAAGGACTTTTCGAACGAAGCGCCGGTGCCGCTTCACAAGCCTTCAGGCACTTCAGAGCAACCACATCTGTTTAGTTGCCGATCCCCTCAACAAGCTCTATTCGCCTAACATAAGCTCCCAAACCCTACACCCCAAAAGCTCTGCACCCCGTAAGAACTATAAACCTTATATGACTCATCCTCGACCCCCAAAATAAAACCCTCATAAGCTCCTCAAGACACGAAGCCCTAAGACTCCTAAACCCGATAATCCCAAAGTTTCGTAGCTCTTTGGGATTTAGGGTTTAGGGTATCCACTCTGAAAGGATCCGGCATAACTTCTATAGAACCTTGTGATTCGGGGCTCAAGTCTACGCAGCGTGCCCGGGAACCGAAACCCTTTGGCGATATGAGTGCAGGAAACGACAGGCGGGGCCATGACTATCTTCGGGATTATGGTTTGGGGAAATAGGGTTGGTGAGAGGTTTCGGTTTAGGCTTCAGGGTTTAGGTATTCGGCCTAGGCATTTACGGGTTGGGGTTTAGGGCTGGTTTGGATTTTGGGTTTCTACTGTAGGGGCATTGTTCATCCGGCTATTTGATTTTACGCTTCAGGGGAGTTCTCGGAAGGCGACGCCGGATGGCCCAGGACCTCCTTTGCGCTTCACTAGGAGGGAAGTTTCCTGCACTCGCCCGGACGAGGGTACCAGTTTTAAAGGGCGGGATGGAGGAGCCTGGGGCTCTTCTGTTACTGTTGACTACCGGCCCCCATGACTGTTGCAGGTTTTAGGGTTTAGGTTTTAGGGTTTAGGGTTGTTTTAGAGATATTGGTTCAGGGCTTGGGATGTATACCTAGACGTTCCCATTGTAGCTCCTTCGTGTTACGCCTTTTTCCTGCTTCGAATCCCAGAGTGAAACCAAGAAAGGTGCCCCGAAAAAGGAACGACCTTGGAAACATACCCCGCATCTCTGGGCCCCAAGGTCTCTCAGATATCATCATCATGGACATTGAGTCATTTTTCCAGAAGGGACCTCACACAAAACCATGATTAGAGAGTTACCCATATTAATATGTATCCTATACATATAGATATTATATATATATATACACATAGATAGATAGATAGATAGATAGATAGATGTAGTTCTCTATCTGCATTTGCAGAAGGCCCCGATAAACCAGAAAAGCAAGAAGCCTAGAACTACCGATGTGCCACACACCAAAGTTCGGACAGTTTTGATATGAACCCTGCTGCACCCCTAGACCCTAAACCCTAAACTTAAACCCTAAACCCTATAAGCCCTAAACCCTATAAACCCTAAAGCCTTGCATCCGTGGGCCCTCGGATGCTCGCGAGGTCCAAGCGCAATGCTGTCGAAGCCTTCGGCCAGCAGCTTCCTTCTATGGGCGCCAGGGTCCTGGGGTTTGGGGTCCCGGGGGTTTAGGGTTTATGCAGGGTTTTTCAGGGTTTTCAGGCTTTAGAATTTAGGGTGTTATCGGGTTTTAGGCTCCAGAATTTAGGGTGAAAAAGGGCTTTTAGGCGTAAGAATTTAGGCGGGTTCAGGATGATCTCAGAGTTGGAGGTTTCAGAATTGGCGTACATGGCCATCATTTCGAGATCCATGTTGTTGTTGGCGTGTCTTCTGCTTCTAAGACCTATCTTAGCTAACCGGAAGAACTGAAAGTCAGAGTTTAGTTGATGGTGGAAGCCTGAACCTTCGAAACACGAGCCAGAAAGATGCCGCAGCTGGCCTCTTCGCGGCTCTTTTTTAGGGTTTGGTAGACATTCGTGTACACTGGATTCTTGGAATGGAGGCACCGCATTCGAGACGGATTTGGATTTTTTTGGGTCTCTTTGCCTGCAATTGAATCTCCAGCCCAGCCGAATCTGCACAAGCTACACCGCTGCAAAGCTGTGCAGAACCATCGCCCTTCTAGCCTTCGCAATTCGTCCTTCAAGTCGTGGCCCAGAAGTACGGTAAACCTCGTCCAGCATCCTCACCTTCACATGTTGCTGGGGTTTTCGGGCTCAGAGTTGATGGTCTTCAGGGTTCAGGTTTGCAGTTTAGTAACTTCGTAGACCCTATCCAGGAGTCACTAGACTCGAAGCCCGATCCTCGTTTTCATTGCTAACCTTCGTCTTGCACTCCGAACACAAACTGAATGAACCCTGAACCCTTCAGACCTTATCCCTCACGCTATATTCTATAAAGACCTGAAGCCGCCAAGAACCTATAGTGCTGCCCAGACTGGAACAGATTCATAGGGACCATTGCACAGGAGAGGAGACCCGCTGGAATGACATTGTAGACAAGCAGTTACTTTGATAAGAAACAGACAAGCAGAGATCTATATACACACATTACTTACATATATATATATAGAGAGAGAGAGAGACGGAGTCTTGCTAACAGTTTTGCCATGTTGTATACATGCATGCATACATACATGCATACATGCATACATGCATACATGCTTACATACATACATACTATGCATGCCAAATGTATATATACATGTGTGTATATGCAAGCATATATAGACAGATAGAATCCATGCATACATGCATACTTGCATAACTGCATACATGCGAACATGCATACAGACATACATACGGGTATGCTAACTACGTATATATATATATGTATATATATATACATACATGCATACATACATACATACATACATACATACATACATACATACATACATATATATATATAAAGAATAAGAAATACATGCCAGCCCTAAACCCTAAACCCTAGTGAAGCCTGACACGCTTTCATTCTGAGTACCTGGAGCTAGCGGAGCTTACCGCCGTAGCCCCCGTGGATGGTCGCTATCGGACCGTTTCCGAGTGTGAAGGGCTTTGCGCTCTTAGGGCTTATAGGGTTCTTAGGGCTTACCTAGACACCAAAAAAACCTTCCTTTTAGGGCTCCTTACTGTCGTTTCTTTATATACGTCCTGAAAAAAGGTAGGTTCTTTGGGGTTAAGGTAGGGTTTAGAGTTTAGGGCTTGGGATCTATGGGGTTGGGATGCAAGGTTCAGGGGCTAGGATTTAGGGTTCTGGGGTTGAAGGATTGGGTTTGAGGGTCTCGTGTGTACGTCGGGCGGGTTAGGGGGTTGAGATTTTGGCTTGGGGGTTTCAGGGCTCCGAGGTGGGGACGACAATGCAAGACAAAGTGCAACATTTACTATGAAGGGTTTGGGATGCCAACAGACGCAGGAAGAACACAAAGGGCTTGGCCGAATATGTCTCGGAGTTCGGCCTCATCAGATATCGCGTGCATGTCGCCTGGCTGGAAGAGATGTCGATTGGGGTCAGTTTGTACAACAAAAGTTCGGAAGGTCCCAAAATCAATATATCTCTTGTGCCTCGATTTCCATAACCCTAGACCCTAAACCCTAA